CCCGCCCCCCCTCCCGCCAATACAGCAAGCCAAGCGTCCACCCAGTGCTCGGCACGCCGAGGTGGGATGTTCCACGCCCTCCGCGCGTGCAACAACCCCCGGGCCGTGTCCCGAGCGCAAGCACATCCAGTCACCTATTCGTAGTCTGGAGTCTCCAGCGCTCAGAGACCCGCTGTCCCCTCCCACCCAAGGTTTGCGGTAGCCCCCGACCTAGTCGAGGTTTCCCGGTCCACCTTATCACCGAATGGAGCGCCCCCACCTCAGAACTGCACCCGGCCAGGGACACCCCCACAGACCTGTTTGCCCTGACTCCCGCTCTCCGGATTAATCCCAATTTGGGGAAGGGAGTGGCCTCCAGAGGGGTGGGCACCTTGGGGCGCGGAAGTATGGCTGGTTCGGCTGCGTCAAAGCAACAGTGTGTGCCTAGTGTTTCCTGGATGGGGGGCGGGGGCAGTGGGGTGAGGAAGGGGGTGTAGGAAGAAGCCACAGTAGCCCCAGGGAGGTGGGATCCGGTGGGCTGGAGATTGAACCTCAGCCCTGCTGTGACCTCTAATCTTTAGTATCTTCATCTGTAAAATTGGAACAAAGTGCCTTCCTCCTAACCTCAAAGAGGCTATTACAAAGATTGAGATAATGGTTCCTAAGCTGAGCTCAATAAAAGTCCGATTCTGTCACCCTTCAGTTCTAGCCCAACGTCATTCCATTGCAGACTTGTGGGGTGGAGCAGGTTAATTTCAATGGCGCTGATCATTAGGATAGGTGGCTGTCATGCCTCCTTAAGAGGAAGGGAGGGCGTTCCCCACAGAGGGGTTTTCTGAGGGTGAGGGGTTGTCAGTTTGGGTTTTGTTAGGTTGCTCCTTTGTTTATTGTTTTCCTTTGGCTTCTCTGGGTGCGGCACCCTTCTCCTCCATCTCTGGGCATTCCTCTTGAATTCTCCCTGTGCCCAGCCTCTGCTGACACCCACGCCTAAGCCAGGCCAGGGCGAGGGGTCCTGGATTCACAGCGCCTCATAGTCCCTCAAACAGACTATCAGCAGACTACAGAAATTGCAAGGGGAGGGTGCATTGGGCCCTTCCCACGCCCTCCAAATCATGTGGCAGACACACTTATAGGTCACAGGTAACTTCTAGAAACCCACTTTACCAACGAGAACCTGAGGCTGAGAGGGGACAACTAGAGATCTCTAAGTCTCTGATGTCACACTCCTCCCTGCCTCCCAGCACCCTAAAGCCATCTCCCCGGACCTGCCCCTCTGCTTGTGGGACCTTGGGCAGCTGAGCATCAGTGTTCCAGTCTGTAAAATGGGAGTGATACCGCCTTTCTAGGGCCAGCGAGAGATTAAATAAAATGAAGTCTTCCAAGATATGCTAAGTTCCTGGAACAATGTAACGCTTGTCTTTAAGTGGCCATAGTTGTCATTAGATGGAAGTCAATCATTCTAAAGGTTCCTATACAACCTGAAATCCGGATGTCAGACCTCAGGGTTTATTGTGTACACCAAATAAACACAGAATACATCTTTGCCCACATACATGTATTTTACTAGCTGTGTTGCATACCAGCCCACGTGCACATCTGCACGCGCATGCATTCAAAAAGTATTTACCAAGCACTTGCCAAGTGCGAGGACCTGTAGTCCGCGCTGGGGTCCGGGACACTGGCATGACCCTAGACGACTCCCGAGCTGAGTTTTGCCGGGAAGATAGCCATTTGTTTGCAGAGTTCTGACTTTTGAGCGGTCATGTCGCCCACGTTTGGGCGCCAAAAGCTGTGATTCCGCGTGCCTCCTGGCTTCCGGACCAGGATCGATGGCTGAAACGCTTTCTTTTCTTTCCGGTGTAGGGAGCCTTGCCTCCCACCGCCACCCCTGGTCAACTCTGCGCAAGGACGTCGCTCTCCTTGGCAGCCTGGCCAAGACGCCGCCTGAATGAGAGCAGGAACTCTCGGAGAAGGGGAGCAAGAGAAGCAGGAAGGCCCGAGAAGGACCCGGGAAGCAGTGGGAGGTCTGCGCCCCGGAGCCCCGCGATAGCCCGCCCCGGCCCGTTTGGCACAGGCTCCTCCCGGGCCGCCAGGAGGCCCAGCAAAGGCCGGCCGGACACGCACCCAGCCTTTTGTGGGAGGCAAACACAAAGGAGAGGGAAAAGCGCGTCTTGCGTTTTGACCGAGGAGGCCAACAGCTCCAGGACGCCCGGGCCAGCCAGGAACTCCCGGAGCCGGGGCCGATCAGCCTAAACAAGTGAGCGCTCAGTTCCCCGGGAAGGGGCTGCGGCCCAGCTCCGCGCGCTAGTGGGAACCGCGGCGCCCCGGACCTGCCCAGGACGTTCCCGCCGGGCGCCAGGCGCAGGACCCGGACAAGTGCTGGGGACGCCTCCAGGACGCGCGAGGGCAAGCGCGGGTGGCCCGGCTCTAGTTTCCGATTATTCCTGGGAGGTGGGGGGAGGGGTATTGAAGACTGCGCGAGGTGCTCAGCGTCCGATTTGCCCCTGGGTTAAAGGAGCCCACGGGGACACAGACCTCCTCCACCTCCCAAGCTGCTCTCTGGCGAAGGGAGGAGACTGCGGGGAGGCTGTGGGGAGAAGAAGGGGCCCGCAGCCCAGAGCTGCCAGCCTGAGCTCCGGACGTGGGGAGCGAGGACCGCGAGGTGCCGCTGCACAGCCCCAGAACGGCCGCAGCTGCTTCGGCTCGGTGGCGAGGGACTACGGCCTGGAGCGTCCTTAGGGGCGTCCACGAGGGAACTTGGCGAGCAAGCCAGCTCTCTCCTGCCTTCCGACTCTGCCTTCTAGGCTCTAGACTCGCGCTGTACCGGGTCGGGCCCCTAGACTTTCACCCCTACCCCAACTCCAGCCACCGGATCAAGCGTGTGATGAACCTCAGACCGCGCACTCCCTCTGACGCAGGCTGGACGCAGGACAGACACCAGTGAGAAGCAACAAAAGAAGAAACCCGGGTTCCCGGACACGTGCCGGCGGCTGACTAACCTCAGCCACAGCAACCAAGGCGCGCGCACGTTGCGCCTGCTGGTGTTTATTAGATACACTGGCAGGCCCACAACTCCACGCCCCGGGGGGCTGGTGGCCCCAGAGGGCACACCTCCACACATGTCCTCACTGTGGTTGGCGGGGTAGGCCCAAAGGAGTCATCTTCAAATGCCGGGTCTCTTTCTGATCCCCACCCAAGCTCCCAGCGTTGGTCCGTGTGACAGCTTCTACTAATTGAACGGTTATGGGTCATCTTTGTAACCGTTGGACCACATATCCCCACGCTTCAGTTCTTCATGTTTTAAATACATATTTAACGGATGGCTGCAGAGCCAGCTGGGAAACACGCGGCTTGAAAAATAATGCCCCAGAAGGCACAAGATTGGGGCGAAGGCGAGTGCCGGCTGGGCTTCTAGCGTTGATGGCAAAGGGAGACTTATCCCGGAACTAGGGGCAATAGCACCAGCTTCTGTTTATTCTGTAGTTTTGCTACTTGAAGACCAATTGCTATTGTTTATGTGTTTGCTTGTTTTTAAAACCGCACATGCACATTAAAAGTTCCCAAGCAAGGGAGGTAACCAGAAGATCCTAACACTCCCTGGGAGAGAGCAGTGTGTATGTGTGCAGTGTGAAAGGCTAGCATTGCGGACCCGCAGAAACAAATTTCTGTGTTCTAAATGTATGGATGTGAGAAATTCAGTTAGGGGTTGGGGAGACAGGCGGCGGCCTCTATGTAATGGACTGCGCGTCTCTAGTCCAAGCAGGGCAGCGCTGTAAAAGCTTAGCAATTTTTTTTTTCTGCAGTGTCTAGGTGAGTAAAATGGGTTAATACATAGTTACTTTTAAACTAATATACCTCAGGTGCTTATCCAGATCAGGCTTAATTCCTGGAAGTAAAGAACTTCCAGGTTTGAGCCAGGCCGCCATCAGTAAAACGTGATCCGTGTCCCAAAGCAGTCGGGAGTGGCTCGATCTCGCTGTCTGGCCCACAGCGTGGAGAAGCCTTTGCCCAGACTGGAGACTTCTCTTTGCAAACAAACCAGAGTTGCCCTCTACCCCAAGGCATGGTGCCAATCACAAAGATGATGCCAAAAATGTTATCAGGCTCCTCTGCTAATAAATGGAGGGGGGATTAACTCCAGGCACGACTCTGCCCTGTGTGAGCGCGGTTACTGTGCTGAAATAACTCGTCCCTGTACCTACACCGTCCTCAACTTAATGAAGAGCTGTGATTTCTTTCAAAAACACTGTTCTGGAGTCGGTCCTCTCCTTCCTTGCCCACGCTCTGCCCCGCCGGGCCCTGCACCCAGTTGGGGGCGCTACTGGCCGCCCGCGGAGCTGCAGCGGCTGTCACCTCCTAGATGCGCGCTAAGAGCGCGAAGAAAGTGGGGGCTTTGTGCCTGGTTATCGTGTACATTTGGGGCCCCAAATGCCCACGTGTTGATGAAATCCATGAGATGGGAACAGGAGGCGGGAAATCAGAAAGAGAGAGGAAGAGCTAGGGAGGAGACTCCAGCCCCGGTTCCTGGGTAGCCAGGGTTATCCGCGCTCATCCCAAAAGATCTGGCTGCGTTAGGTATCAGATTACTTTGCCTACAGAGTCCCCACCTCACTCCACCCTACCCCGTCCCCCAGCCTGACTCTGATGCGACCGTATTTTTACAGAAATGTGACTACGTTCCCTTTCTCCCTCGGTCCCAAGCGCGCTCAGCCCTCTCTCCTTCCCCCGCGTGCCCGCCCTCCTTCCCCCCGCCTCTCACTCTGCCTCCCCAGGTCCCTCCTCCAGTCCCTCCCCAAGCATCTCCTGGCCACGGGCGCCCATTGGTTGTGCGCTGGGAGGAGGCGTGTGCCCGGCCGGTTGAGTTTCATTGAGCGGAATTAGCCCGGATGACATCAGCTTCCCAGCCCCCCGGGCGGGCCCAGCTCATTGGCGCTGCTGCCCCTCCAGGACTAGCACATTGTTCCCCGCCCCCGCCCCGGCCACCGCAGCCGCCGTCGCAGCCGCCACCGGGCTATAAAAACCGGCCAAGCCCCGAAAGGTGCGGATGCTTATTATAGACCGACGCGACACCGGTGCCGAGTGCCAGGTTCTCCGTTGAGGCTTTTCGGAGCGAGCCCCTTGAATCGCATCCACAGTAAGTGTCTCCGCCCTCCAGTAGCCCCAGCCTAGATCCCAGAGACAGACGCCCCCCAACTCGGCTGTGACCTAGGATGCTCCGATGGAGGGTGCCTGAATCCCTCCCCTGCCGCCCAGGTCCCCCGAGTGGCTTTGCTGCTCTGCCCTCCCCACACTCAGCGCTGTATTTCCCTCGCCCCAAAGCCAGAAGTCCGGGCGACAGCAGCTCTTTCTGCCCCAAACCCAGTCAGCTGGTGAGCTCGCTGCGGCCCCTGGGCGCAGCACTGGAATCTGGGCCCCGCGCCGGTGCTGGGTGCATGCGTGTGTGCGTGTGTTTGCTGCGCGGTGTCAATGGAGATAAGGTGGATAATGGCGTTTGAGGAACCAAATAAATAGTTCTCTATTTAGCTCTCCACCCTCCCCAAAGAAAAACCTCACTTGCCACTCGTTTACTCCAGCCCTGGAGGCCCAGCTCTGCCATTCCTAACTGAAGGCACAAAACCTCTTAGAATGCCACCCTCACTGAGGATCACCCAGCGCTCCCTGAAATAAAACAACCTGTTGGATGAGAGCAGAAAGGAGCCGGTGGGGAGGAAAAGAGAGAGATTAATTATTGGTACCTGCGTGCAGATAGGAGGAAGGCCAGAGACAGCAGCGAGGGGGACGCGGAGCTGCGGCGCAGGCGGGAACAGCTTTCTGTCTCACTGACTCTCTTTTCTCTCTCTCCTCCTTTCCTTGGAAGCTCTGGGAACCGAGGGAAGGAGGACCCCGAGAAAGCTGAGACTATCCTCTGCTGGGGCCATGGACTCGGACGCCAGCTTGGTGTCCAGCCGCCCGTCGTCACCAGAACCCGATGACCTTTTTCTGCCGGCCCGGAGCAAGGGCAGCAGCGGCAGCGGCTTCACGGGGGGCACCGTGTCCTCGTCCACGCCGAGCGACTGCCCGCCGGAGCTGAGCGCTGAGCTGCGCAGCGCCATGGGCTCAGCGGGCGCTCACCCTGGGGACAAGCTGGGAAGCAGTGGCTTCAAGTCATCCTCGTCCAGCACCTCGTCGTCCACGTCGTCGGCGGCCGCGTCGTCCACCAAGAAGGACAAGAAGCAGATGACCGAGCCGGAGCTGCAGCAGCTGCGCCTCAAGATCAACAGCCGCGAGCGCAAGCGCATGCACGACCTCAACATCGCCATGGACGGCCTGCGCGAGGTCATGCCCTACGCACACGGCCCGTCGGTGCGCAAGCTCTCCAAGATCGCCACGCTGCTGCTGGCGCGCAACTACATCCTCATGCTCACCAACTCGCTGGAGGAGATGAAGCGACTGGTGAGCGAGATCTACGGCGGCCACCACGCTGGCTTCCACCCGTCGGCCTGCGGTGGCCTGGCGCACTCGGCGCCCCTGCCCGCCGCCACCGCGCACCCCGCGGCCGCCGCCCACCACCCGGCCGTGCACCACCCCATCCTGCCGCCAGCCGCCGCCGCCGCCGCCGCTGCCGCCGCAGCCGCCGCGGTGTCCAGCGCCTCTCTCCCAGGCTCCGGGCTGTCGTCAGTGGGCTCCATCCGGCCTCCGCACGGCCTGCTCAAGTCTCCATCTGCAGCCGCGGCTGCCCCGCTGGGGGGCGGAGGAGGCGGCAGCGGGGGTAGTGGGGGCTTCCAGCACTGGGGCGGTATGCCCTGTCCCTGCAGCATGTGCCAGGTGCCACCGCCACACCACCACGTGTCGGCCATGGGCGCGGGCAGCCTGCCGCGCCTCACCTCCGACGCCAAGTGAGCCTACCGGCGCCGGCGCGTTCTGGCGAGCGGGGAGCCCCGAGGCCGCGGGGAAGCGAGACTGGCCGGCGCTTGGCTCGGGAGCTCTGTTGTGAGGAGGGGCTGGGGACCAAGGACTGGGGGTGGGGGATGGTGGGGATTCCAGCCCCCGGGAACTGAAGCAACGGGGCGCGCACAGAGCAGTGGGGAGTGACAGGGACGTTCACTCCCGGACCTCTTTGAGCCCTCGCTGGCTCTAAACTGATGGTCCGGTAGACACTATTTTGTGAAAAGGTACCTCTGTGTGCATCCCTCACTCGAACTTACTCCCACCTCCACTCCCCCTGGGAAAAGATGCTAAAAACTCTGGTTTCCCCAAGAGTACCTGCTTGACTTCCAGACTCCTCCGGGCAGCACTTGGCAGGTGGGAGGCTGGGGGAGAGACACAATGAGGACTTCCTCTCCTTCCTCCTTTCTTGGCGGGGAGGAGACTCTGGGGAGCGGAACTGCAGAAGCGAACCCCCCCCCCCTCCCGGCCTCGCCTTCGAGGGTCGTCCCTGGCCCGAGGCCAGGGGCGACGGGTCGGTTGGAAGTTGGAGTTCGGTACCAGAAGCACTTACGGTCGTGTCGAATCTCGGTATCTGGGTCAACCCGCACCCTCTAAGAAGTGTAGCCGTTCCTTACTGTCTCTCCTGTTGATTGGGGTATGTGGTTTTCTAATAAATCTGCGGATTTTCCTTTTTCCACAGTATGAGCAAGCTTTATAGACGCTCAGAGTGGAACCACTTGTGGATTGGAATAACTCAAAGCTGCCGATTTGGGGGGGCGGGTGTTTTTTAGCTATTTTAAAATACAAACTACCCCCTCCATTCTTTCCGTCTCTGAGCACGAAGTGATTTGGTTTCTTACTCGACTGGGAGCATTTGGGCGCCTGAGGACTTGCCAGAATTAAAAGGCAGTTGCCGTGAACATAGCTTTGGGTTATTTGGGGCTTTTATTGGCTTTTTAAAAATTTCTTTCTTGGGTGTGTAAATATAATATCAACGATGAGGTAAGTGCGCGGTGCTAAGCCGTTTGCTCGCGTGACTGCCAGTCCCACCCGAGTCTAAGCCTGCTTTCCTCTCTCTATTTGGGTTTCTTTTTGCCACGTTTAACACAAACGGTAAACTCCACGTGCTTCCTGCGTCCGTGCGAACCGCCTCGGCGCTGCCTGCGTTGCGACACTGGCTTCGTAGCGTCCCCGCCTAACATCCTTCCTCTGATCGCGCTGCCCCTCGCAGAGAGTGTATCATCTGTTTTATTTTTGTAAAAACAAAGTGCTAAATAATATTTATTACTTGTTTGGTTGCAAAAACGAAATAAATGATCGAGTGTTGAGATTTTAAATAAAATATAAAGTAAGTCGGGCGTCTTCCATCCATGTGAGTGGGAGGCGCAGGGAGCCGTCCGTAAGAGCGGTTTGGGGTGCGATCCCTGGGGCGCGATCTGGGGGTCGTTCCTCTGGTTTCCGCACCGGGGAAAGATAAGAGTTGTTTGTTTACTCCCCCTGCCCACATTCGCTTTAAAACACGTTCTGAGCACATACTGCGGGCGTTTTTCATAACTTTCTTGTTCTTATTTTTATTTCCAACTCCTAATCCAGAATTCCCTTTCCCTTCAGTTGAGTATTAAAGTACTTTAAAAGTGAAAATTTCCTTCCAGGAGGGCGGAATTTTGGGTCTTCCGGGGCGAAGGCAGTGCCTGCGGCTGGGGGCCCGGGCTCCTGGGCGTCCTCCGCGGCTCGAATTTTCTCTCTTTCTGCTCGGATGGGTCTCTGGCCAGCGCCTGGCCCCACGCGTTCCCTCGGCTTCAGCTGCGGACCAGCCACTTGGGGTTCCTGGTGCCCAGCAAAGCCCCGCCGGAGTATTTCTTGCGGGATCCAATAACCCTTCTCCGAGCTTCCTACGACTCTCCTCCGCCGCCCACCGTGGCCTTGAACTGCAAAGGGTCAGGTGCTGGGAACCGCCGAGGTAGCGAGGCTGTCTCACTTGCTGCGCTTCGGCTTCTGTGCTCTTTCCCGGGGCCATCTCTATCTTCTCGCGTCCACTGGGTTCCTCACAATCCAAAACTGCAATACAAATTCAGGATGTGGCCCCTAAGAGAGAGTCTGGGCAGAAATTAAAAAGTTTTGGCCTTCCAAAAGGGTAAGGACAGACCCTGTTGCAGTCTCTCGACCCCAGGTCTGGCCCCAAAACGTGTGTCCCTGAAAGGACAGCCTGGGGCAGGCACAGTAGACTCGTCTCCTTGTCCAGGGCTCTCTCGCCACATCTTTGGTGGCCACCAGCGAAAGGCCCCAGGACTTGGGCGTGACTATTTCCCCAGTTAGAACCCCATGTCTTGAGTCTGGCCACTTGCCCAGGCCTGAGGATGGCTCGGTCCCCTAGCAAGGGGACAGGCACTTCCCGGTCCTCCAGCGGAGAATGTCGGGCTGCTGGCTGACACAGTGGGGTCCGGGGATCGGTGCTGTAGGCCTAGCTTTCTCCAACAGGCTTTGCTTTTCACGGGACCATTATGGAGGAGGCCGAGGGGTGGTGTAGAAAGGGGGCCACGCGAATCCAAGAAAAGGGTAAGGCAGGTCTAGTCCTTTTTATTCGTGAAATCTTGTTTGAAACGAAACTTGGGAAGAATTCAAAACTGGGTTGGGCTCCAGATGCAGACACATAAAGGGACGCGAGGAGGCTGGAACTCAGGCCGGTGGAGCTGAGAACCCAGCCGGCCGGGTGGAGGTGGGGGGCTCAGTTGCGATCATGGCTTCCTCGACCACCTCAAGGTAGGCGTGTGCGGGAGCGGGCTCTGGGTGTGCGCCGTGAATGAATAGAAGGACAGTTGTTGAAAGGAAATAAATCAAGTCTCCCCCCCCCCACTCCTGCACCCAAGCTCTCGGCTGTGCCCAGCCGCCAGCCAGACCTCGGAAGACCTGGGCCTCTGAGGAAGGAGGGGCTGTGTCCAGACAGGCTCAGGCCCTCCTCCAGCCATTCGCCTAAACTGCGCTGCCCAGCTGGGGACCTAGACCACCATGTGAGAGACCGGAGCGTCAGGAACACAGAGGAGGAACACACACAGACACATGCTAGGGTGTATGGGGCATGCCTTCCAGGGACAGGTGGCTTCCCGCAGAGGGTGGCCCTGTGCTGGCAAGGGGCCTGGGTGGATGGCTAAGGCCAGCGGCTGGGCTTGGATTTGGGGCAGGAGAAGATTGTTTACTCCCCCTCAACCACTTTGACTTCAGTGAGCCATTAATTCATCTCCCCATTGAAAGAGAGGGGAAGGGGAAGGGAAAGAGAGGTGGGAGGGAAGAGGGTGGCTGCTGACAGCTCAGGGCACTGTGAGTCCCCTGGATAGGCAGGCATTAGCCCAGAAATTCTCTCTAGTGCTGGGCTGCAGCTCAGCCTCCTCCCTCGCCTCTCTGCATGACCCTCGCAGCTCCCCAGCTCTCAGACTCCAGGTCCCAGTTTCAGGGACTTGTCAGACCTCAAGGTCTGTGAGACTCTCCCAATCCTCCTTAAAAACCAGGGAGCTGGCTGGCTGGAGGTTGAGGGAGCAGAGCCCAGTGGGCAGAACGTGAACCTCCTCTGCTGCCTCTGCACCCCAGGGCATTGTCCCTGGGCTCCCCACTCTCTTGTGGGCAGGAGTCATAGAGAAATGCCAATGCCCTGGACTCAGTGTTGGGGGACTCACCAGAGCTGCAGGGTGCCTTTGATGCCCATAGAGTGGGGGTTCTGCACTCCAGGGACAGGCAGTGAGCAGAGGGGTGAAGCAAACCCACAGAGGTGTCACACTCCCAGTGAGGCCAGGGCCTCTGATGCGCTGTAGGAAGACATGGGACGCACATGGTGATTTGGGGCTCCAATGGCCATCCAGCCAGGGACCTGCCCTTCTCATTCCCAGACTGGAACCAGTGAAGAGCCCCTGGGCCAGGGCATTGCATTTTAAAGTCCCCTAGATGCTCTCATGGAAAACTACCCCAGGACTGGAGAAATGTCTGTGTGTCTCCCATTAGGGCAGAATCCACCCAGCAATCTGTCTGAACTCCCTCTATTAAGTAGACACCCTGATGCTTCCTGGAAGTTCACTTGTGGCAAAGGATTCCCCCAATCCTGCCTGAGTCTCATTTGAAGGCCTTCTTTCATTACAGATTTTGTATCAGGTCTTCCCTCCCCACACAAGTGTCCCATAGTACCAGTAGGCTTTATGGGGTCATTGACAAGGGTCATTGTATGGGCCTTACACCAAGGGTCTCAAGACATTTTGCAGGTGACCAAGTCCCTTACTCATTGTCCCTGCATACCTGGAAGGGAGGCCAGAATCAGTCCTGGCTGATCACAGCACTGCACTGTCCCCCCATAACTGGGGAGGGGAACAGGGGGCAGCATGGGTGAGTGTGGCTATTCTCTGCTTTGGCTGCTGCCATCTGCTCATGGCCCAGACCCCTGGGGCTAAGCACCCCCCTCTGCCCCCTCCCCCCATCAGAGTGGGGGTCCTTTCTAGGCAGGACAGAGATGGGGTCACTCCCCACACCTACATCCCTTCTCCCCATCTCTCTCCTAGTTAGTGATCCAGTTATTGCTACACAGCTACTTCTCCAGCTGGGGTTGGGGGGCGCTGCAGTGAGAAGCAGATGTGGCAGAGCTGGGAGGAGGGAGGCAGGGCCAGGCTGCACCTCAGGGGAGCGCAGGATATTAATAATTGGCAGAGGAGACTGGAAGAGGAGGTCACCAACGTTTATTGAAAGTTGGTTCCTGTAAGGCTTGGTGCTCAGAGCTTTAGGAGCACCAATTCATCCAATTCTCACACAACCATTTGAGGAGGGTTATTTACAGGCGCTCCTATTTTACAGGTGAGGAAGACTGAGGCACAGAGAGGGTAAGTGACTTGATGTGGCAGATAGTAAATCAAGGAGGAGAGGCTGTAATCCGGAAGTCTGGCTCCCAGGCACACCCCAGGATGTCGCCTGGTCTGCACCCCTGCAGTCCCAGATGCCTCCTGGGGAACCCTCAGATCTAGCCCTGCCACAGACACCCTCGCGTCCCAGCCCCCTTAGGTGACACTCCTGCTCCCCCTTCGTGCCTGCCTGAACCCCATCTGTCCCTGACACCCCCATCTGGGCGGCGGGACGGGCTTCAGCAATTAGCGGGCTCTGCCGCTCAGGGACAGGGCCGGAGCAGGTGAGCTGAGGCGGCCCCTCATTAGGACGATGCTGCGGCTGCCGTGAGGGACCGTCGTTAGTGCCACCGGGACAGCTGCCACCCCGCCGGCCTGAGGCCGCGTTCCCTGCCCGCTTGTGCACTGCATACCTGGGCAGTGATTTGGGAAGTGTCCCAAAGGGAACCGCCTGCAGGGACAGTGCGTCTGAAGTACTAGGTGAGGCGGCCAGAGCACGCGCTTCTCCCGGGACCTCAGACCCCTTTGCCACACGCCGAGGGCCCAGCACACACGCGGGGGCCACCGGTCCGACAGCTTCCGGTCTGCAACCCCTGGGAGCCGCGCGGTCCACTAGGACCATCTGGCAGGGCTCTGGGTTTGGAGCCCGCGTCTTTATTTGGGGTCCTGGGGCCAGAGTATTGCCGCTCCCCGGGAAGACTGCTCAGGAAACTTGCTCCGAACTGTGCGCTGGTGTCCTCTCTGCCCCCTGCTTCCTGGGTCCCGGGCGGGCTTCCTGGGAGGTGGGTGCGGAGGGGCGGCCCACAGCGGTGGGATCGAAGCAGCTGGTTTGGACCCCAAAAATGGTTTTCTTTTGGTGACACTGTGGTGGCTGTGCAGACACAGCCAGTCCACTGATGGTGGGAGGTTTGGGGTCCCCCAAGAAGGAGGCACATAGAACCTACCAGAAGTACCTGCATTGTGTGGGTCCCCAACAGCCGCCCAGGGGAGCGCCAGGGCACCCGAGCTCACACGCACAGCCCACCATGCTCCCGTGCACAGGCTCATGCACATGGGCCGGTGAACCGGAATTCAGCTCAGAGGGACACACGCCAGCACTTGCACACGTGGGGGCCTGGAACCTCCAAGCCGCAGCCTCTCTCTGGCCCCTCCCAGCCTGCGGAGCCTGTGAGCCAGCCATAGGTGTCGGGGCCAGGGCAGCTGGATTTTCCACCCCCTTCCTGTCCCTTTCCCTGGGCCTTTTAAGCCTTGTAGGCCCCGGCCATCTCTCTCCCTCCCAGACCAGCCTGGCTCTCTGAGCTCCAGGCTCTGCAGGCCCACGTCCTGGAGCCTGGGTCAAGGGCCACAGGTAGAACTCAGACCGCACCATGAGCAATTCCTCCTCCTTCATCCTCCAATCTTAGTAGTAGTAGCTTATCTTACAGAGCAAGGTGGAGTGGCCTCTCAGAAAGCGTGTGACGCTCTGACCCGGCTTCCTCAAC